ACGGTTTGACTTTCTTTCTTGTGTTTTGAGTCGGATTGTAATCCAGTTTGGTTTTGGTTTGCTTTCTTTTGTTTTGGATGATGTCTTATTGGGCTGACATTGGACCTAACATATTGTGCTTGAGCTCTTCTGTTTCCCTTTAGCTGTGCTTTGTTCCAGACTGGTCTCTCTCCAGTCCGCTTCACTCGACTGGTCCGCTTCTAGTCTCCTGCAGTCCGTGCATACCGGTAACATCGTTCCCCTTTCCCTTCCCTCTTCTCCATTGAGGGCAATGTCGATCTTAAGTGTGGGGGGTGTTTATCTTTTGACTGCATTAGATCTGTTTGTGTGCTTGGAGCCTAGTCCACTGTCCAAATTTTTAAATTTGAGGGCTCCAAGCACGGCTGTTTGCTTGATGATTGAATGTATTGGCACTGTGGATGTGATTAGTGAATTGAATGGCTTTTGACTTGATACATGACAACTTGAGTGTGACTTAGACAACTTATTATGATGACTGAGATGTGCAGTAGAATTGTGTAGGGGTTCAGTTTTTCAACTGTTTGCTCACCAAATGTGACTTGGTTTGATCACTTGCTTTTGACAGTCATTTATGCATCTAGTTCAGGGAATCAGAATGTGAGATAGAGCATATAGGTAGCCATGTGAGATTTGAGCCTGCTCGTTTCTTTCTTGTGCGATAGATCCCTCTTCCATGAAATGTAGCATTCACGTTGTCACTAGCTAAGATGATGGAGGCATAGGATTAGCCCACGACCAAATTGACTGTCCTGGTGTGTCATACCCCTAGTCAGCCCCTTTGAGCCGTGTGTTTTCCATTCTTTCGGTCTTCAATGAAAAGTCACCCTTTTGCATCTTTTAGAAGGTTCCACAGAGTGATTTTTACATGTTCTCTGCTATTTCTGCTAAATGTAATGTGAGGGTTGGAGGAAGGGCTTAAAAGTTGGGCGTGTTATTGAAAAAATGTGCAGAGGTGGTGGTTTTCTCAAAGAAAATAAAGAAAAACAAAAAAAAAATTGAAAGCAAAAGAGAGCCACCACCAAAATTCTGAATAGTGCCCATTAGGTAGTGTTTCTTAGCAGTCTTGCTAGGAAATGCTAACATTTATATAACCTCCTTCGCTCTTGTGCCTAAAGAAGTTGAGTAATGCAGAATAGCAGAATGAAAGTTATTGGTTTGTTTGACTGTGGTTTTGTTGGGTTTGGAAATGTGGAACCTTGTGCTATAACTACCACCACCTAAAAGGCCTTTTCCCCATGTCCAAGACCCTAGCCAGTCATTTGAACCCGTGTCTAGACCTCCGGATTAGTTAGTGGTGACACCCCCTATGTGAACTCTAGCATTTAGAGGCTGCATTCATGGCGAAGAGACGTTAGGGATTGAGAGAATAAGCATGCGCATTTTTCGCATCAAATTGTCCTGACCCCACTAGTCGAGAGTGAGTGATTCATTTTCTCATATTCTCTATACTCTTTACCCCGGTGAGGACCTATATTGCTCGGTCTTAATTCTGATATCTTGAGCTATGTGCATGAAGTGACTGTTTTGAACAAGTGGTTGAGTCGAGTCTATGTTGGTTGGTGAACAGGAGAGAACTCTTCCTTTGCTCGACTTTATTGCATTCGAATATCGTCTGTGGTGGTTGTCTAGGTTGTCATTCGAGTTGCCATGTGTTGATGATCGAAAGCCAGTATGATCCACGTGTTTTGTGCCGTTACGATTTGCCCTAAGGCCTGCTTGACTGAAACGTTTTGAGCTTACCTGGTGTCTGACTTGGTTTGCTTGGGGACAAGCAAACGGTTAAGTGTGGGGGAGTTTGATAGACCGATAATTACACATATTTTCGCCCCTATTCTGAAGCCGTTTGTGATGTGGAATCTCGTGTTTTAAGCCGATTTCACGCTAGGTTGTGTGTTTATGTCATATTTCAGGACCCGGCGTTGGAATCGAGGCGGAGAAACGAGTTCTAGGTCGAAAGGAGCGAAGTTGGGAAGAAGGGGGCTGATGAGCCAAAATACCCGGCCAAAGGCAAAAATACCCGACTGGGTATTTTCTGGCCATGGTCGGGTATTTCCCACTTTGGGCACCCGTGAGAAACAGAAGGGGGCCCGGGCAAATGGCTTAAATCCCCGGTCGGGGATTATGAAGTCAGACCGGGGATTTTTCCCCTAGATGAAACGGCGCGTTCCATTTATACCCGGTCGAGACTCAAAATACCCGACTGGGTATTTCGACCGGGTATCGCGATCTGGCAGCTAATAAAAGAAAAAGAAGGCCAACTTTCAAGGGATCCGAGTTTTTGAGAGAGAAAGCGATTTCTAGAGAGAGAAAGCGACGAACCAGAGTTCCCAAGTGCCATAGCTTGATCTTCATCACCATTGGAGCCCGGCTTGAGCTTGGAGAAGTGCCGATTAAACGTCCAGGAGCAGAAATCCGTCTTCACAGTATGATTTCCGCGTCTGAATCTGCTTTTGCTTCTTTCTCTATGGAGTAGTTCCCCCATTCATCTGGGTATGGGGAACCCTAGATTTGTATGCTAGGTCTGATTGTATGAACCCATGTACAGAGTTTGTGAATTGATTATATTCGATTGAGGTTTGAATGATTGAATGACTTGAATCCTGATCAAATTCCTGTTGTTTCTGCTTTGACCTAGAATGAGAATATTTGCCTAGGTTGATAGAGTACCCTTAATTGAAGATAGTGAATTGGTGACTTTAGTCGAGAGCCAATTCGCTATTCTGTACCGAATTCCATTCGGTAGTGGAGGTTTGGTTCGTTAGGGCCTCAATCTGTTTACTCCGGAGGAGGTTAGTCGCCCGCTAGAGACTCAGATTGAGAGGGTCTGGAGACCTTTAGTCGAGACTTCAGGCTATTTAAGAACCTTCCGCAGTATAACTTTCATAAAAACTGAACTTGGTAAATTGCAATCCGGCTTAACTGCAGTCTAGGGGGAACCATATCCGGGTGACCTCTCTTGACTTGAACAACCGTTAAACTTGCTTTGTGTTTTTGTTTGTTTGAATCTGCACTAAAAGTTCACTGCTAGATAACGAGAATTCACTGAGTAGTCATCACATCTAGGACCCGGGTTGACATTAAAACCCAAACCCGCTATACTACGCTTTAGGAAGTGGTTACACTTGGCCATTTTCTAGAGTGACAATAGGAGTGAGTCACTCACCTTATGATGAAGTCGACTGCCTTGAATTTACTTCGAATGGGCCTAGTCCTTCGTACGATCGAAAAGTGTCAACAATATTTCCGCAACCACTCAGCATTGCTTGTAATACCATGATCCACATCCATTCCATCCACTACACGTTACCATTCCAAAAATTGACTCCTTTTGGCACTTAGGGCCGAGCACCTCGATCACCACTGTAACCATGGCATAAATCTCTAAACCCCACCGCCTCAATTCCATGAACGATAATCTTCAATTCCCTTTTAGCCTCGTGATTGGATGAAATAAACCATCATCATTAATATAATTCCATTGCGGAGACTCATACCTCAATCCCATGGTGGTTTTGTCTCTACTGCTTGGCGGTTACGGTGCAAAGGAAAAGAAGAAGCAATGGTGGACCAACTTGCTGGGCGGTGATGATGGAAGGCAAAGAATGGCGGCAGTGGAGCTTTGGCCGAGAGCGAGGAGAGATGCCTGCTTTCCTATGTCGAAGAGGGAATTGAACGGGCTGGGCAAATTTGTCTCCTGCGCCTCTCGGTAATTGGTAGATTTAGGTTTGGGGAAAACCAGAGGGTCGAGAGAGAAGTAGGGTTAGGTTAGGTTTAATTTCCTCGGGGTTATCTTGGGAATTTCCTAATAACGGGTGAGTTTAATCCGAAATTCAGTTAACGTCTCAAATTTTCTCACTTCATGTCGAAACTCGACATCGTTTGAACAATTAGTTCACATTTTTACTCCTCATCGGTAATACGGTGGAACTTGACCCAAGGGTATGTTAGTCATTTTGACTTTTGGGAAGAGCGGGGTGTCACAATTAAGTATAATTAAAGTTGAATGAACAGTTGATGCACACTTCATTATGATTAAAACTTCTGAATAGTTGATGTCACAACTCAATATGACAAGCATGTGATGAATCTATGACTATCTAAACTAATAATGGTACTTACAGAAAATAAATTATCAAAATGTTTTAATTAATTATTAGTACTTACAGAAAATAATGATTTTTTTTTTTGTAATTAGAATGATGAAATCTACTCTAAACTAGATTATGAGTGAAAGTGGAATTTTGGACTTTTGAAACTCTCCACTCGTACCAGAACACTTTTGGAGGGGAATTTAAACTTTTGTGGAATTATAAATTTATAACTTCCGAGTAATTCTAACATTTTTATTATTCTCTGTTTTTTTTTCAAAGGGAGAGAGCCGGGAAGTGGGAACAGGTTGGACAAAGTCGGATCGGATATGGTCCTCCCACCTACTATTGGGAGGATGTCCTCCCAGCGGAGAATATGATATTTGTGTAATGATAATATAGTATACGATTTACAAGAATACATATTCGTCCAACAAAAAAAATATATTATTATAATAGATAGTAGTATGAAATCCAGCCTTCCAGAATATCATCTTCTCATAACATAAATATCATCTATCATATTCTCATAACATAAATATTATATTCTTGAAAGCTTGATTTCATACTACTATCTATTATAAGAAAACTTTTTTCTTGTTTGACGAATATGTATTCTTGTAGATCGTATACTATATTATCATTACACAAATATCATATTCTCCGTTGGTAGGACGTCTTCTCAATAGTAGGTGGGAGGACCTTATCTTTTCTGAGACAAAGCCAACCTGCTTTAGATCGGTGCCGACTTTATTATTATTTTATAATAATGAAAAAGTTTATTTTGTTTGTTTGGACTTTGTTGATTCCGTAAAAGAAACAAAAATAAATGTATAAAAATATAAAGCCATTATGAAATTGACATTATTATTGGTTTCTGTTAAATAAAATAGTTCTTCTGTCTGCTCTCTTTTTCTGCCCCTTTCTTTCAAAACCCTAATCCCGTCGATTCAGTCTGGGCCTCGAAACACCTATCCCGTCTTTCGTCTCTCTTCTTCCCCATTTTCCCTCCCTGCTAACCTCTTTTTGTCCAAAATCAATCCGTCTGCTCTCACCTGCCATCTCTCGCGCGCTTCGATTGCCCTTCTCCGATCGCTTTCGCCGCCGCCGCCGCCGCCGTGGTTGCAACATCGATCACTCCGTCTCGTCCTCTCTCCCCTCCAATCTTTCTTCCAGGTTGGCATCCCTCCCTTCTCTCTCCTGTATCTTTCTACCGTGATTTTGAATTCCGTACTCATTCTGGGTGAATTCCTCGACGAGCTGGCACAATTGTAATTCTATTGTTTCAGTCGGCCCGGGACTCGGAGTTGGGGGATGAATCCGTGGCGTGTAGTTTTAGTAGGGATCTCCTTGGTTGTCAATCGTCTCTGATGTTGAGAGTCGCGTGATTCTATTTTGTTAATCCCTAATTCCGCCCAATTACTGATCAATTGTGATGGAAAATCCCATCCCCCGCCGGTGCTTTGGCTTTGATCTTTTTCTGTCTTCAATTTTGTTGTAATCAATCCCCACGTCTTGTGCTACGGGATCAGCTGTCAAACTGGATTATGGACTCTCTTGGCTGTTCGTAGGGGGTGGATGGAGAATCTTGATTTTCACTATTCCGGCAATAACTTCTGATGAGTTCTGATAAGGGCGGATGAGTCTGAATAGTAGTAGTCTACACTGTACTATGAGGAAGTGAAACGGAGTTTGTAAACGTTTGGACTTGAGTTTGCTGGCCTGGTTGCGCGGTTAATTATTGTTCTTTGCAACCCCTAGCTGTTGTGCTTCATTTCTTAGTTGGAATGCAAAATGTAGCACTTTCTTCCTTCTCATTGGTGATGTTGGCCCCAAGTTTGGAGTGGGTTCGATGTTTTGATCGCCCCATCACCACTATGCAATCCCTTGGAGTTGTTTATTCTTGAGATATTCTGTGGGTTTGTAGAATACTTTTGGTCTAATAGTGTTGATCAGCAATGGCTTTGTGGTGGATATATTCAAGCCGAAATGGAGAAGTGCACCTCTTGGATACGATATGATATGATGCTTGCTTTCATGCGATCTATCTTATGAGAGTTTATTCTATGAGGAGGGAGCATCTGGTCAAAGCTTGGAACTGTTACCTTAATTGCGGAAGATGTTTGAGTAGCAATCCTCCTATTACTTGCATAAGATGTGGTCTTATTAATGGCTGTGTTGGGATTGTTATCTTTTGTGGTTCTTCTAGCTTTCGATGAAATTCCCACATTGGTCCGAATAGATACTTGCTGGCTATATCTTTTGACACAGAAATTAAGAAAACTGATTGAAGACAGTTGACAATTGTTTCTATGGCTTGTATCATCATGTTCCATGGGTAATGTACTCTTTCATTATGCGGAACATTGAAGGGAAGCGTTATATCTGGCATAGCTTTTTAATGTGGTAGTTTGGCTTTTAAAACTGTCTCGATGGTGATTGTGACAGCTTGATTTGAAATTTGGATCGTCGCCATCTTGTTTGCTACCTCAATGTTTGCATTAATGTAGAGATTTGTTTTGTTTTGATACTCGCATGAAAAGATGCAACGTTATTTTTGTTGGATTTCTTTGAGACGTCTGAAACAGGGTAAATGCAAGAGTGTGGGGCCTGCAATTCCTTCTTGTGTGGGCTACATCCGCTACAAGTATAAGAGTGACAAAACCATAACGGAATGAACTTGGCCACATGGATATAGGAAGAAAGATAGTTGTCTGACCGGTTTTGAACTCTATAAAGAATCCCATTCTCTGTGGGGGAATAATTGTGTGTTAGCTATTGTCCTACCACAGCTGCTTGTCTTTGATTTTGTTCCGACTTATACGTGCAGACAACAAACTGTTGTTTTGCACCTTTGCTCAAGTTACTGCCATTATGGACTCTGTCTATATTAAGATTCGTCCTTTTGTTTGTTACTCAAATAATGAGCATACTTCCTAGTGTGAGTCTGACCAGAAAATGTTGTCTTGTTGTCTTAAAAACTTACAGGAGCCAGTCTCTACTTCGAGGTAGTGATGTCTCCCGCATCAAGAGCCAAGAACAAGGACAAGAAATCTGGCAAAGAACCACAGAAGGCATTATCAAAGCCTCCATCAGGCACTGTTAATGGAGGTAGCAGTAGTAGCATCCCAGCCAGTGCATACAATCCACTGTCTGGAACATTCCATACACTTGAAACAGTGCCAACATCTGCCGCCTCTCCCATACACAACAATGGCAGATTCCGCAACATAGATGAGACAGATGATCAGTTTGGTGGAGCTGGTGGTGTGGAATATGATTCTGTCTCAAACAATGGAAGCTGGTCTGGTGATTCAGAAGATCACCACAAGGAGAAGACCTCCAACACTCCAGCACGCCAGGAAGCAACAATTCCGGGTGTTGCTGACAATGACAAGAGAGAGAAAATCCGTCAGAAGAATGAGAGGAAGCATCAGCGCCAGAAGGAAAGGCGAGCACAGGAATTGCATGAGCGGTGCAGCGGCTATCTAATGTCAAGGAAGCTCGAAGCACTTGCTCAGCAGCTCGTTGCCATGGGATTCTCACACGAAAGAGCTACCATGGCTCTAATACTTAATGAAGGTAAAGTAGAGGAATCTGTGTCGTGGCTGTTTGAAAGTGGTGAAGATACAGATGATAAACACAGAGATCAGAATCTCGGTGGCGGTGGGAATCTGAAAATTGATATATCGGATGAGCTTGCTCGGATTGCTGATTTAGAAGTGAGATACAAGTGCACAAAGCAAGAGATTGAAAGGGCAGTAGTTGGTTCTGAAGGTGACCTTGATAAAGCTGCAGAGAGTTTGAGGAGGATGAAGCTTGATCCTCCTCCTGCACCTCCAAAGCCTGAAGAAACTGGTGATCCCCCAACAATGGTTAACGGTGGGAAGGGGGTTCCAGTATCTGTCAGTCATCAGAATGTTATGAGACCTCAAGTAAGACCAAATCATAGTCAACCTTCTGTGGCTATACAACAGAGACGAGATGATAATAGAGACTTCAACTACATGAAAGCTGCTGTTCCTCCTGCCTTGGGAGGAGGAGGATCTCCTGAACCTGGGATGGTGAAGAACTTACAGCAGCCTTTGAACAGAATACAACCGACAAAGTTGGTCTCTGGTGTGGCGGTATCAGAGAAAAGGTGGACTGGTGTGCCAACATCTAATAATATTCCATCTGTTTCTTACTCTCTGTCGTCTCCTTTGCAAGTTTCACCACAACCACCCAAGGCAGATACCAGCAGGTATGCATCATCATCATCTGTTGGGAGTGAATATAATAACAAGAACTTTCTCCCTGGTGGAACTACTGTTAGAGAACCTGTAATCATGATGCAGCGACCCCAAACTACTGTAAATACGAAACAACTTCCAGCAGTTACAAGCATGAGCTCATCGCCTCCACCTGGGTCTGCTGGCCTCAGTTGGTACCCTCCAAACGGCGTTGATATGATGAAGCCCGGCAACGGATTTGTTCCCCAGATTCCAAGCAGCCTAAGCCCAAACCACCTAACTTCTTCTAGTCAGATGTTCCACAACCATCATCTTCCGTATCAGCAGCAGCAGCAGCAGCAGCAACATTTTATTCCTGGAAGCAGTCCCCTAGAGACAAGCAGAGGAGGGAATGGGTTATGGAGTAACAGACCAGGGTCAGCGTCAACCCTTGCTGCTGCTTCTAACCTTGGCCTCTTCTCTGGCTTCGGTTCGACTGTTTCGTCGGGGGCCTCCTCACCGGTGGATTGGACCACTGCAAGCTCAATGGCACAGTTAGACTACACGAACATAGACTGGAGTTTGGATCGGAGTTTGTCTTCTCCAAGGCCTAATGCTACATTCTGTCTAGGGCAAGGGTCGTTAAAGAATGGTGCCACCCAGGGTTATGACCCTGCAGGGTCAGGGTTGGGTGCAAAGCTTGCGATGAGAGCAGCTCCAAGTATGAATGGTGTAGGTGGCTTTGCAGGGCTGCAGGATGGTGGCGGGGTGGCTAACCCAGAAACGTCGGCTGGCGGTTCGCATGAGTGGACGTCTCCATTTGAGGGGAAAGATCTGTTTAGCTTACCCAGACAGTTTGTTTCTTCTCCTTCACTGTAGTAGGGTGGGTTGGGGGAGGCCTTGAATAAAAATGAAAAAGGAAAAAAAGAGGAAAGAAGGACAAGAAAAATGTGTTTGAATTTTATGGTTGCTGTTGGGTTGTCTGCTTTTCTGTCGATTTGTTGAATATCCTTAGTGAAGATAAGTGGCATCTCAACGAGTTATATTTTCTTGAATGCTGCCGTTCCCTTTGGATTTACAGTTCCTGAGAGGTTAGAGAGGAAGCCTGTAGTGTGACTGTGATTGATGAACTTTGAATCGGCAAGGTTACGAGTCGAAAGCGAGTACCCTCGTGAACCCACACCATCTTCCAAACTAGTAGGGAGGGAAAATGCAAAATTTCCATGGTTCATTGAGCAGAAATGGTTTCACCTCTCAAATTGAGCTTAAACACCTTGGTAAATTAATACAGTAATCGTCATCTCAATGGTATAGGTTGGTACTGATTCACCATCAGGGGAGTGTTTCCCCAATGGTTTCAATGTTGTCCTCTCCATCGAGGAGGGTTGCCATCCTCGGTTTCGTTCAGCCATAACTCGGATCTGCTGATATGGATTCCATCCAGGTGGGTCTGTGTAGTCTTTGAATGCAGAAGAGAATACTCTCATGGTTATTGCACTTCAATTACAACGCTAAGCAGCTTCTACTAAAAAAGAAACTATTACATAACTTTTCCCATCTGCGCAAAAAGAAACTATTTCACTGTTATTTCTAAACATCACCCTCAGGCCTCAGGTGCCGGAAAAATTATAGCACACCCTCTAGAACGAAAACAACAAGACCAACCACCGATTGACACAAAGATGGCTTCTTTTTTCTACAAACTTGATTCTCGAGCGGTAGATCGAGAGAACTCCGAGGGGGAGATGGTGGAAGTGATGGAAGCGGGTTCCTTGTACCACTGATTGGTTACTGGTGCAAACTCTAAGTTACCAAGTATATCATGAAGCATGTTTTTCCAAATATTCACCGTCACCATTTTACATCTTTTACCTGTCAAGAAAACGTCCTGATATTCTTCATCATCGTACACAAATTGCGGAGGATCTGGTGAACCAATGTCGACAATGGTGCTACCACTGGAAAACTCACACACATTGGCAAAGTGCACAGAATCATTTCATTTGGTGTGTGGTTATCAACTTTACAGAAACCGAACCACTGATACTATGCAGGTTCTTGGACTAGATAAACCATAAAATTCAAATCACGTGGCATTGTAGATAGTAAAAAGGTGCCTTCCAGACATGAAAACAGCATCATATTGTCCACGGCCAGCTGCTGCCATACGCTGCTTCAACCTTTTAAGTGATGGAAGAACTTCAAACGCTGGAAGTTCTGCAGCCAAGGATAGATAGTCGCTTTCATATTGGATGGAGGGAAATGAAACAAAAATCTATTCAAGAGATAGAAGACGGAATCACTTTTACGAATTAAACTATGATAATGTTATTTGAGTTCATACCCAGATCATTTATGCAAACATCTTGTGATATGCCATCCTTGATATCATCTCTAGCAAAGTCAATGGATCAACTTGACTAGCTTGGTCCACTCGGAGATGCTAATATGTCACACAAGTTAACTGTCAAGACACTTTCTGAGACTAAACTAGTTTGCATGAAGGTTTCAAGACTGTTGCAAATTAAACCACATTACCTTATAGACTTCACCAGTTGGGCAGGCTTGTGGGGGCTTAACAAGAACCATAGGAATGTCTAAAGCAATAGGTGAGGCCATATCTTCAACAACCTGAACAAGCCAAGGAAAAAAATGTTATACAACAACAACAACTAAATCAGTTCGAACTCGCAGCTAATGCTCTCATGGAGCATTTTGTGTCGAATGAGCTTACTAATATTCATTCACTTGGAAACTGTAATAGCTGAGGAGATAACTTAATTATCCCTGTCTTTTTTTTTTAACAACCAACTTGTTTTATCAGGCAAAAAGCAAGGCCTACTGTCCGAACTTTGGTATCAAGATACACTCTTTAGTCTTTACCAATCAAGTATCATCAGAACATGAAGTGAAGTGTGAATATCTTCAAGCCTGCATCTCAAAGAACGTGGATTCATACCTCACCACGACCAGTACAATAGGCTGCTCCATGAGAGAAGAAGAAAGGAATGTCCGAACCAATCTCTCCAGACCATTCCTGGAGCTCTTCCTCGGTGGCAAGACCGCCACTGAATTGATTGGCAGCCCACAGTGCAGTTGCAGCATTGCTGCTTCCACCACCAAGTCCTGCTCCAGTTGGAACCTTTTTATCTAGGTGTATCTGTGGAGAAATTACTGACCTTAAGCAAAATCTTAAAAGTGTTACCCATTCCACTACAAGTATTAATATTAACACTGCAAGTCCTTACCCAAAAGTATTTGTTAGTGCCTGTCTTTTTCCTAAAGAGATTAAGGGCTTTTATAATCTGCATACAAAATTTGCAACATTCAGTCACTAGACTGATATAGTGATATAGAGTAAGGGAGGTGACACTAACACTATGTTCATGAAGGAAGGGAGGAAAAGGAGGGGAGGGTAGGAAAATTTGGAGGGGAGGTTAAGTTTGGAAGGGAGGGAAATTAGAGGGAATTGGAAAGAAAATGTTGTTTAATGGAGGAAAGTGGAATGGAAAGTGGGAGGGAAAAAGTAGATTGGGAATTGTGATATGTATTATATTTTATTGATGATAGAATAGTTAAATAATTTAATTATGTGTTTATACTATTTACATTAATTATGTAATATGGATCAAATTTGTTCTTCTTTGTTAATTTTGTTAACTACAACAAATCAAAAGTTGGTTATTTGAATGAAATTTGTCAACCTATTACTAAAATTTTGTTAACTATTTTATTGAGTAATAACATAGCAACTAAATACATAAACATACAACAAATTACAGATACATAAATTGTCCAAAAAGCAACAGGATAATAGTAATTTCCCAAATATAAGGTCACATGCTAATACTAGAAGTACATACATTCATCCAAAATAATGGTATCCGCTAATACTAGACATACATAATATTATACTTAACAATTTAATTCATTAAATAAAGATATTGAACGTGTTATAAAGATTTTATACGTGTTTAATACGGGAGCCATCAAATGTACCGGGAAAAATTAAACGATTTGACAATAATACGTATACGAACGTTTTAAACGAATAAAATATGTATGGGTATATGTATTTGAAAAGGGAGAGAGAAAGAAAGAAGAAGTGGGAGAAAGTTAAAGAAATAGAGAAAGTAAAAGAAAGAAAAAAAAGTGGGAGTAGCGCCACTTTCTCTCCGATTTGGAGGGGCGCTCTCCACAGTACCATTTCTTTTCACTTTCTTTCCTTCTCTACTGTTTTTGGTCTTAAAAAACTGAGGAAACCTCCTAAAAAGCTGTGCTTTCCTCCAATCTTTTCCCTCCCTCCCATTTCTTTCCTTCCTGAACATAGTGTAAGAATACTTTCCCAGCCTTACCAAATTCCTGTCATCGAGGGGTACCCCAGACACATTGGTGGTCAAACGATCAGTCTTATCAGATGGGGAAAACGAGAACTTAATTATCTCCTAAACTAATCACCTGGAGGAAGAATAAAGCAGGACAAACTGTTAGTACTGGACTGAATGTGGAACTAAAACCAAGAACTAACCTCAAATCTCCAAATGTATCAAGCGACTTGAGCTTGAAGAAGAGACTACTTACATGGAAAAGAGATGCCAAATCATGATAGCCATCTGCCCTTTTGCTCGTAATTCTCAAGAAAACATTAATCTGCAAGAAACCCAGACGGGAAATCAACCCATACGAAAGTCTCATTAGAGCAAAGAAGGCAACAGTGAGAGTCAAATCAAAAATAGAAGCGGAAAGACCTTGCAAGGAGAGAACAGAGTGAGCATGGAAAGAGGAGCTTCCTTATCTACCTCATCTGCTAACTTGTTAGAAACAAGAAATCCCAATTGGGGATTTAGGGATTGAGAGAGAAGAATTTAGGGATTTGGGAAATTGGGAAAGAACGAGAGAGAGAAAGAGATTAGCGATTGAGATTTCTGATTATTATTGCTTAATTCCCAAAAATAATGAGTTGAATCCTTAAGCAGCAGTAAACCGAAATAATGCAAATTACAAGGCTGCCACTCCTCTCTTGGCCGAGTTCGGCCCACTTACTCAACTCGCGATCGGGTTTCCCACATCCCCTCCTCCTTTAGAATCGACATTGGCCTCGAGGTCGAAGTCCGGGAATCTCTGTCGAAGTGTCTCGGACTCTTACCACGTGGCATCTTCAGGTTCCACGTGCTTCCACCGCACCAAGCTCTCTTCCACTAATCGTCCACCCTTCTTCGTCCATCGAGTCTCCAACACCTTGAGAGGTACTAGCTCCAAGTCACCATCCGCCGTGACCGAAGGGGTCGTCGTCGTCACCCTGTCCGCGGGGCCCCGGTACTTTTTCAGCAAGGAAATGTGGAATACCGGGTGTTGCGGGCACCCGCCGGCAGCTGCAGACGATAAGCCACAGGGTTGACCTTGTGGATGATCTCGTACGGTCCAAAGAACCGAGCCGCGAGCTTCTGGTACGCCCGCAGAAAAACAGAGGCCTGTCGGTAGGGATGCAGTCTTAACAGTACCCAGTCACCCACCTCAAACTCCTCATCCCTTCGCCCTGCGTCTTCAGCCTGCTTCATCCGGTTGTTTGCTGTGGCCAAATTTGTTCTTAACTTCTCCAAAGCCTCGTCTCGCGCGCCCAACCACCTATCCACCGCGTCGACAGAACTCGACCCGCTCTTGTAGTGCACCAACGTCGGGGACGACCTCCCGTATAAAGCCTCGAATAGGGTCATTTTGATGGCCCGCTGATAAGTGGTGTTATACCACAGTTCCGCCCAAGGAAGCATGGCCAGCCACTACTTTGGCTGCTGGTGCGCGAAGCACCTCAAATACTGCTCTAGATGCTTATTTACGATCTCTGTCTGTCCATCAGTCTGAGGATGATAGGCCGAGCTCATGCGCAAAATAGTCCGCACCAGCGCAAAGACCTCCTGCTATAACTTGCTTAAGAAAACCGGGTCACGATCACTGACGATAAACCTGGGAAACCCATGATGTCTCACCACTCCCAGTACGAACTGCTCGGCCACAGACTTCGCCGTATACGGATGCGCTAATGTCATAAAATGGGCATACTTGGTGAGCCGATCCACCACCACGAACATCACCATCTTTCCACCAGAGGGAGGTAACCCCACGATGAAATCCAAGCTAATATCCTCCCATACCCGCTCCGGCACCGACATCGGCTGGAGAAGTCCGGCCGATCGCAGATGAGACAGCTTCACTCTCTGGCACGTATCGCACGACTCCACATAGGCTTTCACAGCCTGCGCCATTCGTGGCCAGTAAAAGTGGCCTCTAATCCGGCGGAGCGTCCTCTCGGCACCTGAATGCCCTCCCAACGGAGAATCATGGAACTCCTGCAGTACTATGGTGATCAAATTTGAACCGGGCGGGAGAACCACTCGACCCTTGAAGGTTACCAACCCTTGTCGAAATAGATAATGCATCGGGTTTTCACTTACTGCGATCCCCCGATAGTCTTGTAAATACTGGATGGTCTCCATGGAAATCCACAACTCATCCCAAAACTGAGGAACTGGTCCTGTCACTGCGGCGAGAACCTCGCTGCCCAGTCCCCTCGATAACCCGTCCGCCACCACATTGGTGGGTCCTGGTCGGTAATGGATCTCATAGTCGTAGCCCAACATCTTCGACACCCACTTATGCTGATCTGGTGTAGACACCCTCTGCTCTAGGAGATGCTTCAAGCTCTGGTGATTGGTATAGATGTGAAATTTCTGCCCCAAGAGATATGGTCGTCATGTCTGTACTACCGTAATAATCGCCTGCATCTCCTTTTTGTATGTCGACCATTCCTCTTTGGATTGCGCCAACGTCTTACTCATAAAGGCAATGGGGTGGCTTTCCTGGGATAACACCGCTCCAATTCCCCTACCCGATGCATCTGCTTCAATCACGAATGTCTTGGAAAAGTCCGGCATTGCTAAAGTCAGTGTGGTCGTCATAGCCTGTTTCAACCGTTGGAACGCGACCTCCGCCGCTAGTGACCAGACAAACCCTCCTTTCTTCAACAGGTCCGCCAGTGGTTGGGCGATCATGCCGTAACCCTGCACAAACTTACGATAATAACCAGTTAGCCCCAAGAACCCCTACAACTACGTGACAGTCGCGGGAACCGGCCAGTCCACCATTGCATGAATCTTGGACTGGTTAACCTTCACACCCTGGGGAGTCACCATGTGACCCAGGTACTCAACCTCCTGTACTCCGAACTCACACTTGACGGCTTTGATGTAGTACTAATGTTCTCGCAGAATTCAAAACACAGTCTGCAGGTGGCGCAAGTGATCTGCCCATGACGGGTTGTAAATCAAAATATCATCAAAGAAAACCAGAACATACCGCCGTAGGAGAGGCCGGAAAATGTCGTTCATGGCTGCCTGGAAGGTGGAAGGCGCATTACACAATCCAAATGGCATCACCAAGTACTCGTAGTGCCCGTTATGCGTGCGAAAAGCTGTCTTATGGACGTCTCCTCCTGCATACGGATCTGGTGATACCCTACCCTCAGATCCAGCTTAAAAAAATAGCGTGACCCATGAAGTTCGTCGAGCATATCGTCCACCGTCGAAATGGGAAATCGATCCTTCACTGTGCCCTCATTGAGCGCCCTATAATCTGTGCAAAAACGCCATGTACCATCCTTCTTTCTCACTAGTAGTACAGGCGATGAGAACGGGCTCACTAGCGGTACGGCCTCACGTTCACCGCCTCCACTCCTTCCTTGAGCTGAATATGATGATCAACCTGCCAGTGTGGAGACAAGGCAGTGGGGGTCTCAAACAAGTCGGACTAGAGCCCTATTAACTCCTGTAGTTTCGGCTGGAGGTTCGTCGGCGCCCCTGCCTCGATCGGCCAGCAGAGGATCGCTAGCTCGGCGTCGCCGTCCGGGCCGCAGTCCTTGATCGAAATGGGTCCGACGGTAGCAGTGAGGCCGCGCAGGGTCCACTCCTTATCCCTCCATTTGAAGCGCATGGTCAAGCGCTGCCAATCGCTCGTGACAGGGCCCAGACTCTGCAGCCAGGTAACTCCGAGAATAATGTCGAATCCCCTAAGAGGCAGCACATACAAATCAATGATGATTTCCAGGCCTTGAATATCCAAGGAGATGCCCCGATAGACCCACTCGCTTCGCATGGGAGCGCCATTCGCCATCTTCACCACCAAGGGTGCGGCTGCAACTGGGTTTTGCTGCAGATGTTTGGCGAACTCCTCTCCCACGAAATTCAACAAAGCCCTAAAGTCCACCAAGGTGATGGTTGCGCACTCCTCGACCCTTGCCCTGAAGCGAACCGTGCCCAGAGAAGCCCACCCCGCCACTGAGTGCAGCGAGAGAAACGGCGTCGGGTCGCTGGACGCGGGTGCTTCGGTCGCGCCGCCTGACGCGGGCTGCTGCTCGCTCCATCGTTCGCCAGCGCACGTCGTGGCCTCGGCCGGCGTGGGGAGTAGCGCGGCATTGGCAGTGATAGCCTCCGCCTCTGCGCCCGCGGCAGCCGGCTCCTCGGTAGCCAACGGCAGCCAATACGGCGGGCCTGGTCCCTTAGTTCTGCCCACGACAGGTCCTAGAGTTGCGGAGAACTCATCGACGAACCAAGCTCTGATACCAGATGTTAGAAACAAGAAATCCCAATTGGGGATTTAGGGATTGAGAAGAGAAGAATTTAGGGATTTGGGGAATTGGGGAAGAACGAGAGAGGGAGAAGAGATTAGGGATTGGGATTTCTGATTATTATTGCTTACTTCCCAAAAATAATGAGTGGAATCCTTAAGTAGCAGTAAACCAAAATAATGCAAATTACAAGGCTGCCACTCCTCTCTTGGTCGAGTTCGGCCCACTTACTCAACCCGTGGTCGGGTTTCCCACATAACTTGTTCAACCTCTCATCAGGATCGTACACCACCTAATTCAAGAAAGCAACAAATCAAATCAAAACCGAAGTTCATTTCTTTTCAATCAAATGAGAAGACACAAAAAAGCGATACCTCTATTTGCTTCTTGCTGGCTTTCACAACTGGGCTCCTGTGAAATTGGAACTTTTGAGTGAAACAAACAGACCCATATGGGGTGGAGTAGAAATTGTTTTTGCTGAAGGAATTGGAACAAGGGTTGAAGTTTGGGTTATTCCAGAGCAAACTAGAGGCAGCCATGGTGATGGCGGGGGTTGGTGATGTCTTCCACAGCAAAATAGGAAGCAAGCGGAAGTCCACAGAGTTACAAGGACTTCAGGATTAGATAAATTGAAGGTACAATCCTAAGGGAAGTCGCAGTGGCTGCTGCTGGGAGATTTTTTTTCTTCTCTTTTTGGTAATTAGGAGATTTGTTTATTATATTGGAAGAAAGAACATCTACCGCCATTTTTGAACAACCATGAAACGGTATCTTATTTCTCCAGACTAGCTCCTTCTCTACTTTGTCCTTCCGGAGATTCTTATTTTTTTTTTATGATCCTTCTTTTAATTTTTTTCCTAAATACACAAGTTCTTACACAAAATTTTCAAAATACATATGTTCAAAAAGTTTCCCAATCTATATATGTTTTAAGAATATTGCTATTTTTAAACGAGGTGAAGATGTTCGGGAGAGGTTAGAATGCTAACTCTATAAGAGTTAGCACCATGCTAACTGGTCTAATTATCGTTCATTTTTTAAAGTAAAATCGGACGGTGGTTAGTAATGAAGGATTTGTATGGTATTTCACAAAATTAAAAATAATAAATTAATTAAAATCAAAAATACATTTTCTCTCTCTTCAGTTTATTAGTCATTTTCTAGTAGTGATTTTAGGATTTTTGTTTAATAGCGACAAATGGTTTTAGTGGTTGATACTTGATAATAGTATTTTTTTTTGGGTCCATAGTGATTTTCATGTAACTAGTAGTGTTTTAACATGTTTTTAATTTTCAGCCATTGACAATTTTAATAAGAATCACTACTACAAAAATGGTAAAATCAATAAATCACTACTAACATGGCTAAAAAACCACTACTAAAAGATAAATAATCGCTACTACACCTTGATAAAACCACTACTATTTAATACTACTCATCAAAACCACTATAACTTAACCAAAAAAACCAAGAAAAAAATACTACTATAACTTAACAAAACCACTACTATTAAAACCGTCACATTCTTTCTAGTTCCTTTCTCTCCTTGACGTCCAGGGGCAGGTACCTTCCCCATGTAAAACTACCAACACCATTAACTGGGGCAAAGAGGGGAGGCAAAGAGGGAGAATGGCGTTGCTGGAAAAGATTCGGATGGCGTTGAGGCGGAGTTCAGCGAGGAAGGATGAAGTTAAGCCAGAGTACGGGCAAGGACGAGGGAGAGTGCTGGCGGCGTGGGCTATGGAAGCGACTCTAGATCGTGACCGCGGGGAGAGACGAAGATTGTGGCGAGGCCAATGATATTGGTCAGGCGGCGCATCACTGGTTTTAGCACTAGTAATCGCTGGTGAGGCAGAGAGGGGAGGAGATTTGACGCAGAGAGGGAGGGAAGTTTTGTGGGTGAGATTGGGGTTCGTGGGAGAGAGGGGTAGTTAAATTACTATATATATATTAGGGTTTGACGGAATATTGACTATTCCATCCTCTATTTAATTCTGACCCTAGGATTAATTTTTTAATCTAATGGCTATTAATTTAGTTAGTACGGTGCCAACCCTATATGAGGATAGCAACTTAACCCATTCCAAGATGTTCACCGCCTTTGTCAAACGCAATGAAGAAATCATCGTCGTTGAAGAAATCACCGTCGTTGTTAAATCACTCCATTCATACCCTCCTGCAAAACCATCATCATAAGCATACTGGTGAGAATGAGATTCCCCGACCTCGTCGTCTCAACATACACCTCTGCAAGCCGCATCTCGTGGTCAGCTAGGAACTGTAACATTATGGTAACTGCGTCATCATCATTTATGACAACTTCTTTGTACATAACCCTGCCAACACTCATGTTTGGATACCGGTAAGTAAATTTACCAACTCTCGTCTATCCTCCCCATACAAATCATATATGCACAAATGTCATGGAGTTCTTGCCACGTGAATCTAGACTCAATTTTCAACATACTGGATTCACCATCTTCATAATCGATCCAAATGTCAGAGTTTGTCACTCGACCATTCCACCGAATAAGAAGTTGGAACTTTTTGAATTTACGCATGTCTGCAATTTAATCGAAACATTTAGTATAATTTGTATTTAGGGCTACACAACCATAATCCATAACCATAAACAACCGCAACTAACTAATCAAAACATGTAGTATAATTAGCATTACTATAACATGAGTATACTAAACAAATTCATCTAAAATCATAACTAATTAACATCAATCATAATTAATCAAAATATCTCTAATATAACATACTTGCCAGTAACAGTAATTCGTTAAATACAAACATATAACTACTCAAACGTCAACAATCTAAACAATATCAAATTAGAACATACCTTAAATTAGAGTTTTTGAAAGATATGGGAAAAGGTTTTGGTAGAAATGGGGAAGTGGTTTGGAAGAAATGAAGTATGGGTTTGGTTTCAGCAGCTACATGGGAGGGGGGATTTTATTTATTTGACATACAACCTGCATTCAATGCGTTTGTTTAAAGTGGTGAACAATAAACCGTTTTAGACAAACACGGTGAATGTTAGGTTGTTGTTACCTACTAGGGCTGGAAAACGTGACAAACGTTCACCGCTATTGACAGCCGCAGTGATTAGTTTACTGCCTTCCTTAACATTGGTGATGTATTCACAATCTCAGACAAATGCGGTGAAATATTCACTACGTCTCTCTCCAGCGATGTTTTTTTCACCGCGTTTAAAAAATATTGTTTAAGCTTCACTGTTTTGACAAAGGTGGTGAACATCTTCACTGCGTTTGACAACAACAATTTTCTTCAAATATGTGTAGACTAAGACTTTTTTTGTAACATATGTGTTTTGAGAATTTTTTTAAGAACGTGTGTCTTTAGGGAAAACCCCCCTTTTTCTGGGTGGATTTTTTTTATAATAGAAATATCACTACATTATTCCCCAAATGAAGTGCAGAGTTTACAACATATCAGATATAACATTCAACACATTAATCCAATATGGATTAAGAGAGTTTAAGATACAATTCCTCGCCAACCAATAATTGATGAACAAGATGCGGATCCTTCCCATGTGTTGCGAGATTCATTAATAGATGCCAAGGTTGAATAAAATCTCCATGGCCACATTGAAGGAGTCACATAAATAATATCCACCAACACCTTACATCCGAAAATAATTTCTAATGAGGATGGTTTGTCAGCTGCCCAATAACTTAGCCTCCAGAATTGCTCGCCCATGAGTTTTTTTTTTGGTTGAAAGATAGACACATTGCGTCTAGATCACATTACTTAATAACAATAATGGGTGATTCCCAGAACATCATGGCAAAGGCATTGTCCAAGATTTCTATCGCACACATTGAAGGGATGTGTGCCAAAATCAAAGTCATGAGCCTTGCTTTCCAAGTTACTAAGGCCGCAAAATTAGCTTCCCTAAAAACATGGGAGACACTTACTACCAAAACAAGATTCAAATAAAAATTGAACTGTTTTGTCAAACTACCATGACAATGGTCGTCCTTGTGGCGATGTTTGAAGATCTCAATGGCCGTCACAGAGTCATGCTTGATCTGGATCCTCCAGAAGCCTTCTTTCCAGGCAATCTTGAGGCATTCCAGAGCTCATTTCAACTCAGTCGCAGTGGTTGATCAAGGGTCGGGATTGCAGACATAGGCACTTTTACATCTTCGCAAATGATCTATGAAAAGACCTCCTAATGCAGCCTTTCCGCTAGGGGTGAGGACAAATATGTCAGACTACAGTTGGATCCATCCTTCCCTAGGTGGATCCCAGCCAATAAGCCTGCTTTGGCCTGTGACTGAGCTAGCAGTAGCTGTCTTGTGGACATTTTTGTGAGCCTGCCCATCAATACTAAACCATGATTGGATTTTTGCGATCAATCCATTCTTAGAGAAAGCTTTGTCCTCCATCACCTCCTCATTCCTTTGTTTCCACAGATGCCAAACAATGACACCAATATCAATAGTCATTTCCTCCTGTCTGAGGTTAGAAATCAGCCACTCGTGTAGAGGGAGATTCGTGTTGTTGGCAGTAATCTTTGGAACTTCTCCCACACACTTCTGGCTTTGCAACAGCTTCTAACAATATGGTCAATGGTTTCTTCTTGGTCTTTACAGAAGTTGTAGTGGCTATTTGTTGCAATGTTTCTTCTGGTCCACTCCTTGTTGGTCAGCAGCCTGCCGTGCAAGACAAGCCACATGAAATGTTTGTTTCTGTTTGGCCCCTTCCATTTTCCGACGTCTTTCCAAAATCTGTTAGGTCTCTGTCATCATCCTCAACTACGAGCTTGTAGGCCGAGTTTAGGATGAATCCGCCATCCTTCTCCAGTACCCAAATGTTTGCCTCCATACCTACAATAGCCGAGAGAATGTCATCATAAAGCATCAACTATAGTTTTCCTCAGTCCCACTCACCTTCCTCTGTGATCCACTCAGCAACCATATAATTTCAATGCTCCTCAGTGATGTCACTAGAGCAAAATCCTCCAGGGTGATACCACTGTCAACCCAAGTTTGAGTTCAGAATTTTGTTGACTAGCCATTTCTAATGCTCCAGCAAGTAGCATGTAACATAATGTTCATTCCTTTAACGATGGCCTTCCATAAGTTAGAGTGGTTACTCTTCTTCATGGATAGGATGTCCCCATTCTTTATCTTTTCAAGCACATGCCCAACTTTTAAGAACTGCCCCCAACACTCACTTTATTACCAGCAGAAAACATGCTACAACCACTCTCTGGAACCTCTAAGAGATGCACAAGGATAATTTTTTATTTTAAACACAAAGAAAGAAACTTACACAGCTCAAAGGGGATGGCTAAGGGGTATGACACCCCAGGACAATCAATTTGGTCGTAGGCTAATCCTATACCTCCATCTTCCTAATTAGTGGCAACGTGAATGCTACACATCATGGTAAGTTGGATCTATCGCAGAAGAAAGAAAGGAACAAGCTCAAACCTCGCATGGCTACCTATATGCTCTATCTCTCATTCTGATTCCTTAACCATGCACAAACGACTATAATAAATGAGTGATCAATCCAAGTAGTAGTTGGTAAGCAAACAGTTGAAAAACTAAATCCTACACGAATCTACAGTACGTCTTAGTCATCATGCATTAATGCTAGCAGCCAATCAATTCACTACACAAAACAATAGTTTTCATATGATCATGCACATATCTGTACTTGGAGCCCTCAAATTTTGAAATTTGGAAAGTGGGCTTGGCTCAAGG